ATGAAGTAAGCGACCACGCCCTCCCCACATCCGGGATGGACTGTATTCACTATGGGCTCTGAGATCTATTTGGAAAAATCTCTCAAACGTGGCGGAAGTTCAACGTTTGACTAATCCATAGGGTTTGACTGACCCGTACTCGATAAATGATAACGAGTCAAAAGTCTCGTCCCTGTGCTGGCATAGCTCGAGTACTGTGACCTGCTTAGATGGGCAGAATCTGGACCAACATCAATAAATGAAGCCCCTTTCCAAACTTGATATGCGAAACCAGTTATCTTTCAAAAATTATCCAGTTGTCACAAAGGCTCAGTCTAGTCAACGTTTTATGCAAGTCTATCAATTATTTTGTCTACTCTTTTACCTACTGAACTCGGCATTCAATTGAAATGTCGAACAGATCCGGTTAGGTAGTTATTTCATGGAGAAGTTTGAAAAGAAAATGAAAGTGAATTATCCAGGGCAAACCATTAACAACCCGCGTACTCGACAATTCCAGTCAGGGTGGTACATATGCGAGGTTCCCGGGTTTTTGTCCGTGAACTATGCAAGTTCGGGGCCATCTGAACGACGTTTGATTGTACGGTTGAGGGTTTGATTCCGGTTCAGTCACAATCATCACGGTGCCCAGCGATTCCGCAACAATGCTGCGCCACTGATTCACGCTTTCACTTCGTTCTACAGGATTTTTCATTGAATTTTACGTTTTGCCGCCCTCTACTCGATTTCTCGTGCGATAGCTACGAAACCTCATCCCTTCCTCTCGACTCACTTCCGACTATTGGGAAAATTTTCCTTTTTCCTGCGTTAGAATTGATCTGAAAAAAACCGAATATTATTATGTTACTATGTTATTAGAGATTATTATTATTTTACTATATTGTTACTATATTACTATATTATCATTAGACTATTATTATATTACTATACTATATTATTATTATTATTATTACTACACTGCTCCACATAATGATAGTTCCACCCAAGAACCTCACGAAATCCCGTCTTACGCGACGTTTTCAAAGATGCTGTAAAATAAAAAATATGGCGCGATTGACCTAATGCCCGTGTCGTCACGGCCAACACCAAAATACCAAATGGAAGGAACATTTTTTTCTCTCATTCTTTTTTTGAAAAATGGTCACTTTGACAACGACGCAAAATCATAGTTCCACTAAACAAATCGAATGATCCACAAACAGTTGACGAACCTATGAATAATGTGTTAATTAGTAATCTATAGCAGCCCCATTTCTTCGAATAAGTTGGAAATTTTGGTTGCCCATGCTCGAATAGAGGTTGTCAATAAGTCGTCTGTCCACTTGGTGCCATGCATACTGATTGCCTCCTTGAGCTCACGATATTTTGAACCATGCATTGTTCGCGATAATTTTGGCACACGGCAAAACCCACAACATTCTCGACTGGGTTCAGGTCGGGGCTGTTCGCTGGCCAGGGCAAAAGAGCGATTTGGTGGCGCCTGAACCACTCTCGAGTCCTTCGGCTGACATGAACCGGTGCATTGTCTTGCATGAACCAGGGTTTTCTTGCCGATTCCTATGCCAGAATGGAAGCAATCCTCGTCGCATGACGTTAATATAATCAGAAGAGTTCATTTTCTTAGATACGAAGCATAGCTTCACACGTCCCGTTGATGCGATGGCAGCCCAAACCATGACGCCACCTCCTCTGAAGTTCCGCGTGGAAAAATTAAGCTGGTCCTTCCTCAGGTCGTGCCAGTAGGATCGGTTTCCATCTGGACGTCGCAGTTGAACTTTTTCTCATCAGAGAACACGACCTAGAAAAAAAACCTGAAAACAAGACAGACAAGCAGAAGAGCAGCGCAGTTGGAAGCTAACCTTACTCCAATCGGCGCTTCGGCAACGATCCCTCTAGCAAAGTCAATTGGTCTCACGATGCCTTTTGTTGTCAGGGAACGGCGCTTCCTTTTCCTTAGTTTCTTTGAGAATGTACCCAACTTTCGTTAGGACGCGCGCGACAGTTTCCTTCGCCAGACATTAAGCTTCAGAGATGACCTGATTTAATGGGCACGACGATGTGTGGTGCTTCTCTGAGGATACGGCGCTTATCCCGATCTGAGAGCAAGAGAGGACGACCAGGGCTCTTCTTGATTCCATATCCTTCTGGTTCCCTGACAAAATTGTTGATTACATGATGACTTCGTCCCAAATCCCGTGCGATTTGACGGTTCGACAGTCCTTGTGCCTTCTTTGCCATAATCTGCCCTTTCTCGAAGTCCGACAGTGAATGTCCTCTCGCCATGATCTAGAAAAGGTGAAACGTAACGGTGATGAGACAGCTTTACCCGAAAAAAATGAGACGCAGTGGAAAAACATGAGGTGGAACTATCATTTTGTGGAATTGTCAGAGTGTCAATTTTCAAAAAAATGAACAAAAAAAAACCTTGTTCTTTCAAGTCAGTTCCCGGTGTTGGCATGCAAAGTGGTATTGATTATTACCTAATTTTCTACTTGAGGACATTTTTGAAAACCTCATGTAAGACGGGATTTTGTAATATTTATGGGTGGAACTATCATTATGTGGAGCAGTGTATATTTTTATCTAAATATTACTTGCCGGAAAGCAGCAAAACCCCTCTGTAAGACTTCTTTTGGTTTCGAGTTCTCATTTGAAAGTGGTTAGAGCTCACTCCTGCATTTCCATGCTTTCTTTTTCCCGGACACTCTCGGCTGCTCAGATTTTTCCCGTCTCCTGAAAGTCCGAAGATGTTTCCTTGTCATGTGCATTTTCATTTCCTTCTGAACTGGAGTAACTTTCTGAGCCTGAGTTTTTATGTTTTTTATACCCTTGGACTCTGAAAACACCTGGTTTTAATAAAGCCACTACAGCGAGCGAATCAGTAATAAACTCTCTCCTGCTGCAAAATCCTATAAATCCATCGCTATTATCGCTACTGGACCGACACCAGTGAATGTGCTCAAATAATTGCAGTAACCGGAATTTTTGCTACATCACTCTGGCTGGATTCGAATTTCACGTCAGGCCTTGCCACTCTTGGGGTCTCCAGCCGAACCTTTTCCTCGTTGAGCCTTTTCCTTTGTCTTGACCCAAAAATTTGCCAGAAGGAAAGTCTTCGCGAAATATAAATCCGAAAGTTCAACTTTTGCTTGTATCTGGGACGAAGTATGCACTCAGCTCCCTGGATCCTTGTCCCTATAATGTATGGGTGGTGATTGAGTCTCGTGGAGACGGCAAGGTGAATCGTAAATGCCGCTCCGTCGCGCTCGGCGGATGGCCACGAGGGTTTTTTGTTAACCTGGTCATGGAGCACCAGGCTTCATGTAGACCTGTATGGAGACAATAGACATGGATATTTTCCTCGCTCCTCAGTTGCCTGTTGTCGCATCACGACCTGTGAAGCATTGTCATTAGGCCAGGAACGACGTCGCATGCGACCCGATTTAGATCTCTTGTCGCACAACCTGAGTTCTCGCATTTATGGTTTTCAAATATCAACAATAGTAGTTGTGGTTGGAACTTTGACGGGCCCACGAAGGCCTATCATCCGGCTGGATGGGGGGTCAACCGTCAAAAAAATTTCATCAGGGCAAAATACGACTCCTGCCCAGAGAGACCAAATACGATTCTCTTCATATAGGATGCCCGACGAACGTAGGTTGGATGTAACTACAGCCAAGCCAAGGAAGAGAAATTTGCCAAATGCTACCCATCGCTTCCTCCAGCGACAATACTACTCTTCATCCCTAGTAATGCCCAAAAAAAAAGACCTCCGCACGTGCCTCGCTGCAAGTACGAACCCCTTTCTTCCAACGTCCGCATAGTGCAACTACGTAGCACTCGGTCTGAGAACTGGGAAGCACTTCTGCAGCAACCGCTTACCGGAAGCTCATACCATGCCAGCATCACAAGGAAACCCCCTTTCCCTGCATTGCTTTGAGTGATACTCCCTAGTCCCATCAAGCTTTCGATCCGTCAAGGGTTCGTAAGTTGGTTGAAAAAATTGCAAAATTAATTGATTGCAAAATCGATGGCAGGATGAGAACCAAACTGTTCATCAAGTGGACCACCAAGTCATCCTACAAGTCCTTATCGCATTGAGAACGTCACCTCAATTCTGAACGGAAATAAAAGGCACCCCAACACAATGATTATAATTGCTTGCATAGCTCAAGGTCTTGTCTTTCAATCAGGGTTTCCTCAGAAATCACTCTTTCTGCATTTTTACCAATATAGGTCCTACCGACATCGCAGCGGGGTTCAAAAAACTCTAGAACATCAGATCTTTCAAAAGCTCCCTCGGTGCATAAAGGGCGCGGTTCGCGATAAATAAGTTAAAAAGATGTTGTGGTCTAGGTGTGGTTGGGTGAAGAACAAACCTTGCGCGCGTTTTGATGCAAAAAAAAACTTATACAGAGGGGGCTTCTATAGCGCAAATATTCAGTGAACTCGTCGCAAAGGCGTATTCGGCACGATTCGTTTCACACTTTATTTCTTTAGCAACACACTTCTTCAGACAAGCATACATTTGATCACGTTTTGTCCTCAGTGCCGTGCGTAGTAGTTGTTGTTCGATCGTCTGTATTCTTCTTGAATCCTTCGGCACACCGCACATTTCATGCAATCGCTTTGTTCGTAATGAAGTTAGGGTGTCAGACGATACTGCAGACAGCGGCGTAGAAAGTGGGTGGTCTGTCTCATCACAACAATCCTTTGTCGTAGAGACAGGACTTCTTTCACTAGTCGAAAACAGTTGGCTGGTACATGTTGTAGAATCGTCCAGGATCGACCTTCTCTTAATCTTGGCATTGATGTATCTTCAAACAGGTGTATAGATTGAGCCGTCCAAGATTGTTATAATTTATTGGCCAACGTTTCGGCTACTTCGCCTTCGTCAGGGCCTGAAAGAGTCCAAGAACAATTGAGATCTGTCCCCTCAACGCCTTAACAAAACTTAAGACTATTTCGAGATCCTAGTAAACCACCTAACGGTATCGATCGATAAGGTGAGTAGGCTTACCTAGATCTCAGCCGCGACGACGTGAGACCGACCACCCAAGCTGTAGTACTGATTAGTGAGCTGCTACCTCCACCCCGCGACCTCGACCTCATGTAGATCAAAAACCGCAAAGGTCGGCAAAGGGCGCGAGTTCACGGGTTATGGCTAAACATTCCTCCTTCCTGTTCATTAGGGGGTCTTTCGCCGAAATCCAAAACGCTTCCAAGGTTTTTCCGCGCTGTGATTTCAGGCTCCTGTGCCAGGATAGACACCGTCACCTGAAATTCGGCACCCCCATGATACTCAACCCGATGGCTTCCAAGTGGCGTCCGGACCTGTGATCTTCGCAAGCCATCCAAGTGCTCTTTAACACGTACGCACAAAGGACGGCCCGTTTCCCCCACATATTCACTATCACATGTGAGTGCAGCGTATTGAATAGGATCACCATCCCCTGATTTCATCAATCTGCTCTAGCGGAGGGGACGAACACAATTGTGGTATCACATGAATAGTCATTAGGATGCGATTCGTGACCGAGGCGACGTTTTAAGTTGTTGGGGGTATTTCTAGCGACCTAACTCCTTTTCCAGCACATCTGCGCGGACTCGAAACGGATCGCCCGGCTAACTTCTTCCGAAATAAACGGGAAACAAAATGGTATTTTCTCGGAAGATATTCCGTCTGTGACCCCGTGACGTCTGGTAGATCCCCTGCGCAATGGTCGCGACTCCAAATAACCGTTAGATACCGCAATCTTTTTAGCCATATCGACCGATTCTTGTTCTAATGCAGGATCGGAGGAGACCCTGCTAGCAGTTCTAAACATATTGTTAATGACTGCTTGCTTTGTCCCTGGTCGGATGTGCTGAATTGCAGTGAACAAGAATATTCTTATTGCTCGGCTTGCGGTACCATTTTGTTCTAACCGTGTTCCCCATCAATTGAATTTGAATATTGAGGAAGGGCAGCCAGTTCTCTACAGGATGTTCCCGTGTAAACTTTATATTGATGGACTGCTCATTTAGAAGGGCGAAACACTTATCGATTTCACCTCGTGTGTGGCATATTATGAGACAGTCATCAATTATAGCGACAGTACGAGAAGAGAGTCTGAGAATCCAACAGCGGTATTATTCGTAATTTGATAATGTTATGGCCAGAATAGGTGCGAGCCGCTGCCCCATAGCTAATCCCCGCAGCTGCCTGTAGTATGTGCCTGACCACTTGAAGATAGAACAGTTCCAGAACTCTGCCAAAATTTCGATGACCTGGGGATGGATGAACAAAGAGGTTGAGCGTACGTTCGTGCTCGCACAGCAGTTCATATGTAGCCTCCAGAGCAGCTTCATTCGAAACATTGGTGTAAAGTGATGTCACATCAAATGACTCCGTTGACACACAACCTTCCTGAGGGTCAACATTGGACAACTTAATCGAGTTAACTACCGTTATTGAGGTCAAATGGCGGTATAGTTGGAAGAGTTGTCCCAAGATAAATGTTGAGAAACCATGAGATCTTATCGGTTGGTCCACCCAATGTTACTTATTATAGGTCTAACCTTGAAGCCGTCAGGGTTCACCAAGCTCAGTTCCGTGTGACTGAGCTTATGTGTCTTGATCAGAACATACAATACAGGACAAACTGGCAGGTCACACTTGATACGATTGATTGTCGTTCTGGGCAGGCCTGCACTCTTCGCCACGTCACTCCATATTCTGTTTAGCCTTCTATACTGTTTGCAGAACTCTTTCTCCGTTGATCTGCAATAGAGAGTATGGTCTTGGAGATGCATGCTAGTGATCGCCCTGTCAAAAAAAAAAAGCCTTGTGATAGGACTACAAACTCCCCTCCTTTGTCACTCACCGATAAACGGATACTTCCATCGTTCAGGCGATCTCGTATCTCTTTCATACCCCGCCTTTGTGAAAGGGTTATGTTTGGGTGTACGCGTTTATCAGTATACTGTCGTACTATTCTGTAAACAGAAGTAGCAAACAGTCTGAATTTTGTGTCTACGATAGGGTCACTTTCTTGGGGCTTGTAGAACGTGCAAGGAAACGGTAGAGCAGGGATTCTTTCATTCGATCGATCTGCCGTGGATATTCCCCGCCGTTCTGCACTAGCTTTGTGCCGTAAGCGATCGTGGAGCAGTTGCAAGTTGCCAACAATTCTGCGTACCGCCGTATGGGTGACATTCTGAGCGGGAGCAAAACTAGGGCCTAGTTCCAGCAACGAGCGCGCCATTCGAGAGGGGATGTGCTATAACCGTGACGCGCGAATCGGAGGGCTGCACACTATCATTCGACGAGTGTGGGATGGTGGTATTACTAGGATTACCAGTAGTCACCTCCTTCGATCTACACACCGTTGTTGGTCTACTAATCTATCGAACTTTTCTTTCAGTCTTGTTTTAGTACTCGAGCGGACATAATCACAAATATTCTTGGACTCACCCACTATCCTCTGCCAAAGGCGTTTCGGCACGATCCGTTCACAACTTATTTCTTTAGCAACACACTTCTTCAGTAACTCCAGACTTCGCCTTCAAGGCCGCCTTTCAGTGAAAAGCGAAGCTGCGGGACGAAAAAGCATGAAAATCGTCACTTGTACGGTCGTAGAGTTCTTATTGGGAATCAGCTGGGATGAGGGCGTAGTATTGAAGATGGAGTTAGCTGGATACGTACAAGCTGGGATCGAAATGAGGTTCTATCCAGAGCAGTGGCATGTTTTCTTCTGCTTCATTTCGCTATCGAGTTATACAGTTCCTTATAATTTTATGCAAACCCCTAATCCACCATCTGTGACGGCGAATGATCGCAGGCTTTGCCTTAACGTTGAAATATGAACTCTCTGTTGGTTGCGATGAATTTCTAGCAGAAATTGCTCAAACTGATCGTGATAAAGCCAGGAATTAGAAAGAATGCGCAAATTTTGAAAAATTGATCTTGTCATCTTCTATCAATTTGTGCATCGCAAAAAAGTCCTTGACACACAGACCATCCGCAGTTCTAGACATTATGGCGGTCATTCCACTGGCTGTAAAACCTATCAATTAGTGTGACCGATTTGTTAATCGCTTCACAATTCAGCACATTCGTCTACCCTAAACAGCAAAACTGATTGATAAAGTATAAAAAATCTAGAAAAAACTCATGCGGGGTTTAGTTTTTTCTCATCATTTTCTTTCAAACGAGCGCAGTTCGGAAGTTTACTGGTCGCCACTTTCACATCGTTCACTGTGTTGAAATACCAATGACCATTACAATGTCTCTAAGAAAGTGCATTTCATTTTGGGTGCGCAGTTGCAGTAACGTGCCACTTTCTCAGATTAAAATACACGGAAACGGGTTAAAAGGTAGTACTGCTCAGGTGCCGTCTCCATGCCCCGCCTGCGCGACCACACTGCCAGCTAGGTGCCCAGCCTTGTCCTCTACGCCCTCTCACTTCTGGTTGTCCTCTACCTCTGAGTGCGTGTTTGCTGCGGGCCTTTGGTATCGACGCGAATCCTGCACATTGCGTGGCGGACTATGGAAACGGCACTCGGGTACCACCACCATCCAGCCTCGTTCCCGTGCCCTCTTGCGCGGGAAAGTGGCGCGCTACTGCAGCCACGGACCTCGTCACCTCACGCACAGAAGGGACCGCCCTCGGAGAGAATATACTGTTTATATTCACAGGGTCGCGTGGGTCTCTTCATTCCAAATAGGGGGAGAGGAGGGGGGACGAAGACTTCACTGCAAGCATTAGTTATAAACTTCAATTAGGTGCGCTTCGAAAGCTGATCTGCACATGATCCTAAAGGAATTCTAAATCATTTCAGGTGACAAGCCGGGGCCAAGTAAGGGTTCAAAGATCTCGGTTACTTCACAATTAAAAGGGATGATGGCAGGGAGCGGTAGATCCGTAGTATGAAATCCTGTCGAATTGAAGGCAGTTGGCACGATAATCCCTAAGACGAGTAGGATTAATACGCCTGGCAGGACAGAATTCCGCGACCCTGAGCAGGCGCTGCGTAGCGCCTTTTCCAAGGAAGGTACCCTTAGGGCCCTATCAAGCTACAACATACCGACCCGAACGCCCACCGCACCCGCCCGCCCAGGACCACCGTACCTGATGCCCGTATGACTTCATTTACTAAGCAAAATATGAAGCGATGGGATTAACATGAAGAGCTCGCGGTGCTGCATGGATATAGCACATGCGTGCAACCTACTGTGCTGGTCATTGGCAACGAGAAAATCCTCTTTTTTGCATGTTTTTGACCGTTCCACTCGAAAGGTTCTATTTAGACCGAGGAAATTCGACTCTGCTGAATCAGTAACGTGACGAAGCTAACAATTACAGTATTTCCTCATTGTACGGTGGTGGTTGAAAGGTCGTCCAAGACAAGTCCATAGTCTAAATGGCTTTTAAATATTGCCATGCTATGAGGAAATTTTGATCTGAGATCATCAAACAAGTTCGAGGGCTTCAGAACCTTTGAATAACCTCCCAGGGCACCCTGGCTCTCGTGCACACCACAACTTACCACCGCAGTTATCACACTTTAGTTCCAACAAGAGCGCTACGACGTGTGACCTATTTTTTTAAAAGTTTTCAGGTAACTGCCAAAGATGCTCAGTTCCACAGACATTTAGTCACACTGCTTCTTAATGGATTACTTGTACACACTGACAAGAATTAATTTTTTAATGGACAAAATCCAGCAAAATGTTAATCACAGTTTAAAGCAGTTATGTAATGTAGGGCT